ATCCTATATACGTTAACCAGCAAAAACAACTAAAAAAGTTCTCATTTTGTACCTCCAACTTTAAAGCCAAATCACTTCTGTCAGTAATGTTACTTACCATAGGAACATGGCATATCGTTTGTCAAATCAGAGGACTACTGTCAGTTGTGTTCAGTTAATATGATTTTAAATGTAACAAATTAGTATCAGATGAGATCTTAGTGAATAATAATAAGGTGTTTCGAGTCAAAACTAATTCCAATCACTTATGCGTTAACACTCAAGCAGCATGTCTTCAACTAATGGATAGATTTTTCAAATAGTTAATTCAGGCATTTTACATTGGTCTGTCGCGACGTACAATCTGCTACACATGCATGTTGGTTCTAGCGGCACCACTTCATCTGAACAGCGGTATGAAATTGTTTGAGTAAATCCCAGAATGGTAAAAGTGAGAACAGTAATAATTGTAACAGAAAAAAATTAGGGATTGAAGATATGATTCAAGAAAATAGGAATCAGTGAAATAAAATCATAAAGAATTCGGAAGCTAAGAATCTGAGGGAAGTCAAAGAATGAATACACTTCCGACATTACAAATGATTATGATTTATGTCATACAGTCTCCAACCACTGGTTATGATAATCACGCGAACTACAATCAGGTATATTACATCAGTGTACATGTCTCAGTCCAGCTGTCAGTGACTTGATGGACTGATGTTATATTTTGTTTTGGTTGCTCTTAGCTTTCTTCCAACCTACTCTTACACCGGACGAAATCTCCAGTTAAGAAGTACGCTTACGGATACTTAACACATCCCACCCACAAATGGAAACTCACTACCTCATCAGTCAATTTGCCATTCCTACGTAGTAAGCTATTTCTAACCCAGGCATTGCTTACATGGTGGTCCCAAAATAGACGAACAATGCTTCAAATACAACTATAGATCGAACACTAGTAATTTATGAATATCCTTTATTCCTAATGGCCGTGTTTAACTCCCATAAGATAGGTAAGAGCTAACTACTGTGCAGTAAACTCGCCTTTTGGTTGAAAGACGAATATCTTTCCTATGCTATATGTTGCAAGTTGGCAAATGCCAATCTAGTCTTCTGAGTCTGTGCCGAGATTTCATCAGACACGAGACCGTCAGTACTGAGAGACTCCCAAGATAAGTGACGCGTTCAACTACTTCCCTCCCTATCATTCAATTCAGGTACTGACAAAAGCCAATCCTGAAGCAGCATTTTGTATTTGAAGGGATATAAACGCATCTTAAACATACTTAATTTGTTCCTAAAGGCGGTCAGAAGGCTGAATTTTGTCAGTGTCTTTACCAAATCGAACTATATAATCAATAAGTGAATCACACAATGAAAATTTTGTTTTTAAAACCATGTCTATGACAAAGGTAAACAAGAATGGGTAAGGTGGGCAGTCCTGATGAACATCACTCGAATTAACAAATTCTGATGAAAGTTCACCATAAGCTTTGACTCGACTAGTAGTGATAGAGTAGAAAGCTTGTACAAGATTAATGTACTACCTTGGTACGTTTTTTAGTGACAGACGCCATTACAGAGCCTTACGATCAATAGGGTCGAGCGCCGCCTTAAGGTTAAAGAATATAACAATTGTTGTACGTCGAAAAACATGTCTATGTTTCAGAGCCTGACAAAGAGTGAGTGTTAGATCTATACATCCGCGTCCAGGTCTGAAACCCAGGTAGTTTTTTTTATTTGCTCTTCATGAGCTCCAGTTTTATTGAGGCTAATATTTTAGACACTATACTAGTTAAACTGATTCCTTTATGATTGTAACACGAGGATTTTCATCCTTTCTTATGGACAGGGGCGACCAGAGATCGAAACCAGTCAGATAAGATAATGCTCCATTCCCAGATTTTAGCTAAGCTTGCAGTTAGTCTAGCTGAAACTAAACCACAATCCTTAAAATTCTCAGAGGTTAGTTCATCAGGCCCTGCTGTTCTCCCTAGCTTTAGATTGCTTATAACCTTCCAACTTCGCTGAGAGTTGGAGGACTTACATCAATTTGCCATTCAGTTTACTCGGAGGTTGTTGAAAACTGAAAGCCAGCTAAACCGTTCCCTAAATTGCTCTGACCATCGGTTCCATCTTCTGGACTGAAAGTGAATAATAGTTCCATCTTTTTCCGAGATGGTTTCATTAACAACCGGATTCCCAATACCCGTTTTCTTGATAAGTCTGAACAATTATCTAGTGTTACGAATTGCCGCTGCCTTTTTTATCGCCACTGCTTTTGTTACTCACTACTGCTCACGATAATTGTGTGGGCTTTTTACCAGCTAACCTTTAAGCTGCCTCGACTCCTCATTGTGTTCAGAGCCAGGCGGGATGCATTTCTGGGCATCCAGAAGATCAGTAAACGTCGTTGACCCCTCTTAACTTCTTGGTTTAAATACTGCTGGTTTCCACAGAACTATGGATATCATCTTTACTTTCATGGTTGGCTAACTCCTTCTCTGGTTGCTCATGAAACATATTCCTGACCTTTCTCATCACAAAGTTAAACTTAAAGAAGTTTCTATCTGTGCTTTTTTCTACGTCCTGAGCAAATGCTCGTACCATAGCATGATCTGAGTTCTAAACATGTGCTCCAGAACGAGTGGCAATCTTCTATCTAGTTTCTTCAACGATGGGTGATGGGAGTTGGGTCTATTTTGATTCCACCATTGAATCGAGTATGAAGGTCGTTATGTCAAATGTTTTCCTTATTGGTGCTTGTTAAAAACGAACGATTATTTGAGCATAGTTGCAGATTCTGTTTGTTGAGCCACGAAATCGCAAGAACCTCCTTTGTGCCTTTCGGTTTGGTTCAGTCTACCTATGTAGGGATTAAAATTAACTACAACAACTGCATCACCATAGCGGTTAGCTTTTTGAAACGGGTTAGAAAACGTCATATAAAATTCTTCTTTGACTTCATCCGGGCTCTAATCAGTGATAGCGAAGGTAGGGTTCTTTTTGTCTCGTTTAGTCGAACAGCGCTTAAGCGACCGTCTATCGTAAACCAGTTTAAGAGAGCCTATCCTACCTTTGAAATTAATGTTCTACTTACATCAACGAGATCACAGGAAGTATTAATGGGGTCTCCAGATACACAAAGGGAGGATCAGGTCGGTTCTTTATATCGACAGGCCGAGGTCAAATGAAAGACTAATTGGATCCTGTATGTGCAATTTGGAGTCGCAGCATAGATTGATGGTGAGAGATCCAAGTGTACTAACTAAGGAAGCCAACTGTCTTGTCTGATATAGGGTTCGAATATCAAACGCTCCAACACACAGATCAGGAATGTTTTGTGAATTGAATCATTAAAATTGGTGACACAAGGCGATAAATATTTGTAAGAAGGATTAGTCATGTGGATAGAAGAATTTTATCGTGAACAAGATGATCTCTGGTGCTGCTAGAGGTAAGAGAGTTTTCAGTTCCCAGTTGACCACAACGTGGAAAGACATTTCTTTTTGAAGAAAGTGAAAAGAGAAGTGGTTTAGCGGTGACATCGGATACCAAGAGACAACTGTTTGAGACCGGTCACAAATACGGCCTTTTCGTAGGAAGTTATTGGTGTGTTAGCTTAGCATTTTAAAAGGTATTACTACCTGAGACGGGAATCCGTGGAGTAAGGTGAGATGTGAAATCATTTGGGTCGACCTTTTCTAACTTTTTTTTCTGTTTTAAGTGTTATATCTAGAGCTTATATTCTTGATATCCCGCGTATAACTTGAGCACTTGAACGCTAAAGCCCTTCCATGTCGCAAATAAGACAAGTGAAGGGAATGTTATTCCAGACAGTGTCAAATTATAGTACAAAAACTGTCAGATATTTATAGTTTTTAGTAAAAACGAAATCATCATTATAGCTATCCAATCCGCACACAGGGGGTTATTAGCATGGTCCTATCGGGAAGCTACACGTAGAGATTCTAGAATAGTCTTCCAAAATGTGATTGGATGGAATATCTTCGGCTCTTTCTGAGCTTCTTACAGCTTCCTCAAGTTCGCCAGTGGACCGTCCTCACCGTAAGAAGGAAGCATTGTTAGAGATACTGGTTGTTCGTGAACACGTTACTGTTGTCACGCTCTTCTACAGTCAACAGTACGAATTTTCTCTCGAACCTGCCTGGCATGGTATTACTTAGAAGGATATGTGTTCCAGCCAATATAACTAAATTGAGTCATTACGACAGGAAAGCTCAACAACCACTTCAAGGTAGCAGTTATGGTAAAGACCAGAATAACCCCATATCTATAAGCAATCTTAAGGACGCAAAATAATGAAGAAGCAAGAACACTACTTGCTTATAATGTTATAAAAGTTATCTTTTGTCTTTATTATAATACTTTCGAAACGTCAAAAAGTGCGTCTTTGATAAAGATAAAACAACAATAAAACAAAATAAAAATTCGTTAGTACTGAAAATACGTGATAAAACGTGAATTTTATTTAAGCAATCTGTGAGTGCTTTTATTGACAAGTAAACATTTTATTCGTATGAATAAAAAACAAATAGATGATCGAATTGGATCAAACATTAGTAAATTTGATTTTCAGAACTCAAATATATATAACATCGTAGAGATCTGTGTAAACAGAATGTAGGACACATAACAAAAATCTTAAAACCATGGTAAAAAATATGTACGGAGAAAAAAGAAGGATTATTAGGTAAACATTTTTGACAGAAAAAAATTGCAGAAGAAAAACATGAATCACAGTTTATTAGACAACAAGTAACGTACACTCCACACCATCAATTCTGCCTCTATCCCGTAAAGTCACAGCCATATAAATATTCCAAACAAGCAAAGATACAGTGGGTAGGTAAAAAGAGATTGAATAAACACAAATCGATATATGTAGGAAACACATTATTCAAAGTGTATATTTTTGTTACCATCAGTATTGATTTTCACTCTTACATACACACACATGTACGGATGCTCTTTTCATATTTTTTCTTTGTTTTTCACATTGCATCAAAATGAAAACGTTGAGATTCTTTTTGTTTTTCTAAACGATCTTCACGAAATTCAAACCATTGAAGAATACCAATAATAATTATGAGTAGAATACAAATACATAGTAGTGTTACAGCTATATATAGTACTTTCATATTGTATAATGGTTGAAGAAACAATTTCATAGTCCATCTAAGGATATAGTAGTAGAAAAAAGGATAAAATAGAAATTATATAAGTATGTGCATAAATATTTTAATTAACATAACTGTGTTTCATGGGGAGGTGTTAGGTAGATACCAGGGAAAGGGAATAGTGAAATTCAGAAAAAAAATTCTCAAAGGAGTCACAATCTGTGTCTCTTTTTCTAAACGAATTTATCAAATAATTGGTTAATGAAATCTTTATATTATTCTAATTGTGAGCTTTCATTAAACGTGTTAAACGTTGTGATAGTGTAGCAAATGCTACTTACACTGACAGATATAAGTAGTAGTAGCAATCAGAAGCGGAATGCCAGAGAATAGAAGATTGAATTGAAGAGAACAGGAAAGGAGACAGAAAAATTTTAATAACAACGGGATTGAAAGAATCATGGAACATGTAAAGGATAAATGAAAATGTGGAAATAGTGTATTTAATGTAAAATTTTCATAGTTTACTAAGTCACTGTGTAATATTGCATTAAATAGATGAATTAGTTTTCTCCACCTGACTTTTCGTCCACTAAAATAGCACACATTCATCAATGAATTATGGTTATCAGAAAGGTTTTTTTTTATATTAGAGTGATTTCAACCATTGGAATTATAGTTAATTAACTAAACATGTGTTAGTCAGTTTCCTGTTACAAAATTCCTATATATGTCGTACAGTTGTACATGCCTATTGAGATTTATCATTTGCTGTGACCTTACATTTTATCCGTATATTAAAAATGTATTTTTTCATCCTAAATAACAATTTAAGGTGGCTCATTGTTTTTTCTGGTACTGATTAAGTGTAATGAATAATGGGAGGGGTGAATTTCTTGGGGTGCTATTGACTGTTAGAGTATATATAGGTAATGGTGTGAACGAGGTCTGTGGTATTTGCTTAGAGGAAGATCCACAACAGAAAGTAATGTTAATTTTATATTGGCCAGATAATTGTTTGAAACCAATGGAGGAGGCTGGATGGAGAGATGTGCTTAGTTTAGAACAGCTTAACAGTGTAATTCATCATGTTTCGTGGTAGGTTTCTCTAAGTACTGAGTCATAATCCCATATAGTTAAATAATTTCAACCTCAAGAGCTTTCAACACAGACGAAAAACTTGTTCAGCACTTCATAATTTTTAATGGTTCTGTATATAGTGTCAGCTGGAGATAAGAAAAGACTAATTATATACCAGATTTGAACAAAAACTCATTATGAAACAAAAGTATGAATATTATGGGATATATATGACCAGTTTGGGAAACAATTGATGATAAACGTTGCATGAAATCAACCTGTATAAAAGTTACTAACCATAAGATAATGTTCATATTATTTGTAACTTGAATCATGTTACTTTAAAAACTATCATTCGGCATTATAATTTACTTCCTAAGTAAAAAAAAGTAATGAATATAGACTTTCTTGATGATTAAAAAGCAAAAGACATGTGTTTACAGTAAAACCATCACGGAAGGCGGCCTGCTTGAATATCTGGGCTACCTGTTCCTGCCATCTATATATTTCTATAAATTATCTGTTTCCTTGTTTTTTATAACAGATCACTACGTCAATTAACTGAATAACCTGTTCAGGTGTGTTTCTGAAAAGTTTACAACCACTCACTGTAAAAATTACAAAAACGTACAATCGGAGACATCGTGATGGCTGGCAATATGCATTGAAAAGAATGAATACTATTCAGATGTCGACTTCTGAAATACTAATATCTAACTGGTGATCACTCAATATTTATCGTTAATATCGATCAAGAAATAAAAAACGAAAACTCACTGAGATACTTTGTGCTGAGAATTTTATACTCTACCAAAAATAAACTATTGAATAAAGCTAACAATAAATAAATAAATAAATAACCAGCTAGGGAGCGTTCACATTTATGTCCCTATTATTAGAAAAAATAGTTAACCAATATCTTTCTTCATACAAACCTGACGACTTTTGTAGTCCTGAGGTTATAGATGAATACTGAACTCTATCAAGAAACATGCTTGTCAAAGATGAATATCTAACTACATTTACTGACAAAGAAAATAAAACTCGAACCTCTTAAAGAGTCAATAAATTCTGTGCCAAAATGATGCTCTAGATGAACATCAATTTCAAGGGTGAGATGGCTGTAAACATCTTAGAATAGAAAATCTTCAACTCGTTCGAAAGAAATTCATTCCCACAAAGTTTCTAACCGATCTAACCTCATCAAGAGCTTAAAGGACAAGCTATCACATCTAATCAAATAAATGTATATTTATCAAATAACTTTTACCTTGGAAGGTAAATATATTGATCATTTAATATGCGTTCTATCCAAGATGGTTAAAGAACATAACTCACCATGGTTGCAAAAGAGATAGCAATAAGTTCATAAAAAGCTCAAAAGTTGAACACCTTACAAATATGAATCGTTCGATCAAAACAGATTTCTCTAAGTCAAATACACAGTGAACAGAAAGCTATCAAAGGCAATAAACATTCCTTATCATTTCCATTGTTAAAGCTTCTGCAACAAACACATTTAGGGAAGCTAGGCCTATACACATAAAAAAGGAACTAACTCAACCTCTTCTACAGTAATTGTAACTTTTAGTTTCCTAAGGCCATCACCCTTTCTCGCTCTCTCCTAATTCTCTTGATCTTTTTACAACTACCGTCATTAACTGACTTTCTTTTTTACTGTTTTCCTGCTTCTCTGGTTACAATTCACTTCAATTTCAAAATCTATACCATCTTATTACTCAATCACCCATGAATATTCATGTATATCCACAATTTATTTGTATAGCTACATTTTCAATTTCTTCATAAGGATAAAAATAACTTATAGTTTATATTTTGCTTTGCTATCCTCCACTTTTCTATTCACTGAACAATTGTTATTGTCAATAAACATATCATAGATTACCATTGTCAAAAATAATAGTATATACATATTTTTACAATTGTACAGAAATAAGATTAAATCATTTACAGAAAAAGATAGAAAATTGTCTTATTTTATAAACAACTTACGCAGAAGGATTATCTAATGGATATGGATTGATAACAATTTGAGCTTTTGGAACAATAAACGATAGTAAACGTGATCGAATAAGCTAAGAAAGTGTAATAGAATGAAAACTTATTATGATTATTCATAATAATATATTTGAATAATATACGAGTGGCGTTTCATTCAACCAAATGAACGTAGTTACAAACTTGAATTATTCATCTAGAACGATTATGATTAGTATATAATTATATAGGCTTTGAAAGTGTTCGATATGTCAACAACAATAAAAATATAAGAAGTCATGCGTCGATCCAGTATAAAAACAGAGATTTGATTTTGTAAAGAATATATGACATTTAAACTATCCATTATATTTAGAATAAAATAATACATACTACTATACCAATGAATAGGATAAGTTATATAACCAATATTATGAATAAGGTTTTATATATAACAGTGAATTGATTTAAAGAGGATTTATTTCGTAAAGCGTAGGTGCATTAATTCTTTGTCTTTTCTTAAACTCTAGTTTTTCAAACTACTTTGTACGTTTTTCTATTCCATGAATCCATACTTTCTTTTCAAGTCGTTAATTTTATGCCTATGCAGTAGAAAACTACTGCCACCAACATTATTACTACTTATACTGTTCTGGTATATTTATTTGCTATTAAGGTGTAAAAACTTTAACCTATGCACGTATGTACTACGTTCTGTATTGTGTATGACTGATTGACCGAATAACTTGTAGGACTATACATTACTTCCTATTTCCATTGATAAGTTAGTTGTGAAAAGATGTTTACGAATAGTTATTTAATGAACATATTGGACTCCATTACAGCCACCATTTATCAACTTTGCTCAAAAATGCCTATGACTGATGGTAATACATTCTCCTTCCAGTCTTTACACAAAAACAAACGGCTGCGCAATATCGAGAGTTGATCCAAGTCAAATATATAAACTACTGAATATCAGCTCAGTAGTCTGAAGGTTAGACACTCACTCAAAAACTTGAGGGTTCTAGGTGCATACTGTCAGGTAGTAGGATGTAGTAGCTGTCTAGTTTTTCCTGGTTTTTAATGGTTGTTTAACTAAGATCAATCCATGAAGCTGTCCATATAAAACAGAAAATTATGACACATGATTAAACTGTCAAGGCCAACAATATTTATCGTCAATTTAATTAAAGAAATTGACCAAAATTTTTTTTTTTAATGGATTTCGCTTACCAAGCACACGTTATATACTATGTTTCAAATCAAATTTTGATGTGACAGATATAAATATTTTCCTACTACACTAAGTAAATTAGGTAGGATAGGATTTGGAGCTACAGTGAAGTAACTGAAATTCCATTGTATTAACCGTTCAAAACTACTACAGCTTATTTTCTAAAAACATTTTTATTTAACAGTTAAAATCAAACATTAAGAAAATATTTGAAATACAAAAATTATTAAATAGATAAGTAATAATACCAGCCTTAAATAAATAGCCATATTTTGCATTAACGATGAAAAATCGACCAAAATTGTTAATTCATATAAGACAATGCCTATTATTATATAATTCTTCCACATTTGATAATTATGTATAAATGTATATAAATTAAAAGTAGTCCAAAATATAAGACAAATAAACTATTTACTTCTCTTGATGGTGGTATAGAAATTGTCAATTTTTCAACATAATTAGCAAATTGACCTAAACCAAATATTTCAAACGGTACTTGAAGAGCACTACAACAACTTTGTGAACCTAAAAGTGCAGCAGAAAGATGACGACCTCCAGTAGCAGCTTCAGTGTTGAGGTTTGAACTTATTCCAGGTACCATAAGACCATAAGGTAATCTACCATCTGAACATGAATCCGCAGATGAACAAAGTCCGTTAAGAACAGTAACCTTACAGTTAAAAGTGGAAGAATTGAAAGTGAATAATTATAAATGAATATTATAAAGTGTTCTTAAATAAAACTATGCTTTAACGACAAATTAATAACATTTAGTAAAGTGACTTTAAGGTAATGTCAGTCAGTCAGTCAGCTGCAACGTAGGACCAGGCACGTATATGCATCGGTACAAGTTGCCATACCGCATTAGCACAACAAGATTAACACGGGATTCATAGAGGTAGTTAATTCAGTGGTGGTAATATATAGAAGAAAGAGTGTGTATAAGGAGATAGTACAGGAAGAAAGAATTAGTTCCTAAAAAGAAAGATTTGAAGTGATTTTAATCTCTTAATTTAAAGGAAGACAGAGAGTGTATACACCGACGCCATTGTGATGGATTCTGAGCCATGTCACCCAGAGTTTCCAACTATAGGCTACGATGGTCACGCGAACCCCAACCAAGTAGCCTGCATCTACCAATATAGCTCAGACCAGAAGTTAGTGACTTCAAGCACTGATGCCACGTTTTGTTTTGGTCGCCCTTACTTTCTTCCAATCATCCCTAATACCGGTTATCATTGCGCGTCGTGGTAATTGGTGTTCAGGCATACGCAACACGTGGCCCAACCATCTCAGTCAATGAAGATTCACAACCTCATCAACTGCGTCTAACCTCACCATTACTTACCTGGTGATCCCAGCAGATTTGAGCAATGTTTCCAAGACATATGTGATCAAATATTAGTAGCTTACGCATACCTTCTACTCTTAAAGGCCATGTTTCGCAGCCGTATAGTGGAACGGAACGAACTGCCACGCAGTATACTCGTCCCTTAATTGATAGACGGATACTTCGCCTTCGCCATAGGTGACGTAAGTTGGCAAAGGCCAAACGAGCTTTTCGAATCCGTGCTGAAATTTCGTCAGACACCAACCCATTAGGGCTGATCAGACTTCCAAGATAAGTGGAGTTGTCAACGCGTTCGACTACTTCACTCCCTATCCTTAGTTCAGGTGTTGACGCAGACCAGTTCTGAAGCAACAACTTGCATTTAGAGGGAGAGAAGCGCATCCCAAACATTCTCTCATTGTTGCTCAGTGCTACCAAAAGACTCTGCATTTTATCAGCGTCTTCACCAAGCAGGAGTATGTCATATGCGTATTCTAAGTCAATAAGTGGACCTCCTGGTACAAGATCAGTTCCCAAAAATTCAGTCGACGAGAGCGTTATTTCCATCAGTAGATCTATGATGAAGTTAAACAAAAATGGAGATAGTGGACAGTCCTGAAGGACACCACTTGAGGTTGCAAAAGCAGATGACAGTTCGCCATAAGCTCGAACTCGACTATTGGTGTTCCAGTGAAGAGCCCTCACGAGGTTCATGCACTTCTAAGGTACACGTTTCAATGACAGACACTGACACAGAACCTTTCGGTCTACAAAGTCAAACGCTGCTTTCAAGTCAAGGAAGACCACCATTGTCAGACACCAATAAGTATGCCTGTGTTCTAAAATCTGACGAATGGTGAATATGTGGTCGATGCAGTCACGATCAGGTCTGAAGCCAGCCTGACTTTCTCATGTTTCCAGTTCACGAGTCTTTGTTAGGCGTTTGATAATTACCGAGGCTAGTATTTTAGATACTATATTAGTTAAACTAATCCCTCTATGGTTGTCACTGGGTGATTTTGACCCTTTTTTATATATTGGGACGATAAGTGATTGTGACCAGTCAGAGGGGATTACGTCCAACTCCCAGATTTTAACTAAAATATTAGTCAATCTAGTCGCTAGAATTGGACCACCATCCTTAAAGACCTCTGGGGCCAATCCATATGGACCAGCTGCCCTTCCTCTTATTAGATTAACTATAGCCTTTTGAACTTCAGCTAGAGTTGGGGGACCTACTTCAATGTTCCATTCACACTGTCTGGGAATGGTGAGTAGTTTTAGAGTAGCTGAAGGCCAGCTGAACTGCTCCTTAAAGTGTTCCGCCCATCGTTCTAAAAGTCTGGACTGGAAGCAGATAAGAACGTCGTCTTTTTCCGGGATAGTCTCACACCTGACGTTTTTGTTCCAGTCTCTTTTACGAGTCTGAAGAGTTTTCTGGAGTTACTTATGGCCGCCGCCTTTTCCATCTCTTTTGCTTTCGTTGCCCACCACTGCTCATGGTCGTTCCTTAGACTTTTGCTTAACCTAGATCTGATCTCTTTACGCTCTTCATCGTGTTCAGAACCTGATGGGATGAGTTTGCGAGAATCCACCAGTGCAATAGACCTTGAAGAAATCCACTGGTTCTTTGTAACCCTGTGGTTTAAATCACTAATAGGTGTCACTGCTGTTTCCACAGCTGTTTGTATATCTTCCCAAGCAACATCTGGGCCAGCCTCGTTTTCAGAACTACCTAAGTGTGACCTCAGTTGTTCCTGGAACCCACGTTTGATTTTCTCATTATTCGGTTCAGTTCTAATGAGTCTTTTTTGTGTGGCTTTTTTGCGTCCTGTGAGGCGCAAGCAGATGCGTGCCCGAATTAGGGCATGGTCGTAGTCCAAGCAGGTACTCCAGAATGAGCGACAATCTTCTATCGACCCTCTCCAATGATGACTGATGGCAATATAGTCTATTTGAGTCCACCGTTGATTTGGTGCAGGGAGTCGCCATGTTGGACAATGTCTCTCCTTATGCTTAAAATTTGTGTTTGCTAAAAAATAAACGATCGTCTGAGCACAGTTGCAGCAGACGATCACCATTATCTGTTCGCTGTGCCGGAATACTAAAATACCCACCTAAATGTCTTTCTGTTTCGTTTAAGCTGCCTACCTGGGAATTAAAGTCACCTGCTATGAGTACTATGTCTGAACGTTTGGCTTTCTGAAGAAGTTCAGAGAGTTTTCTGTAAAATTCATCTTTCACTTCATCCGAGCTGCGGTCAGTAAGAGCGTAGGCAGAAACGACGAAAAGGAAACGACGTGTGTCCCTATCCTTCTGAGTTCTTACGGAGCCGTTTATCCGAACACCGCATAGACGACTATTAACGGGGATCCACTCTAATAGCACTTGTTCCGCCCTCGTGTTTAGTGCTATGTCTACATCTGCTAGTCCATGAGAACTAGCCATCGGGTCGCCAGATACACGGAGGGTGTATCTCGTCGAGGTGAGGTTATTTATTTATTTATTTATTTTAACACTTAGATATTGGTACAAGGAGGTACCAAATATATATGCGCTACACAGATCTCATTTGATATGTGTGAGGGCTGTGATACTGCCCGGGTGCCCAAACCGAAGCAGGTGGTTTTCTTAGGGGGCCACACCCAGAGCCTTCGACCTGAATATCTGACCCACAAGGCAGTGGAGCATCGTAAGGAGATGCAGTCCCATAGTAGCCGGTGACCAACAATTGGTTCATACGCAATTTGTTCCACCAGGATACTAGAGCCCATGTGCACCATTGGTTTGGGATCCGGTTAAAGTGACGACCATTCGCTTTTCGTCTTCTTATTTTCGTAAACAACAGCCCGCCACGAGAAGGCAGTGAGTAGGACTTCCCTGTCAGAGGCTATATACGCGTGGTCATGTGAGAGCCGTACCAGAGCATTTGGGGACCACACTACGATCTTGTATGTGTGTTTCGGAGACACAGCATACATCAATGATACGAGATTATAGGGTTTTAGCCAGAGAAGCCTGCTGACCGATTTGACATAGTGTGTGTACGTTCAAGGCTCCAGTGTGTAGTTTGGAGCGAGGTTTCAGTAGACCTAGGACAGTGTTTTGCGCACTAGCATCGTTGGCTATGGTGACACGTGAGGAGGACACCAAAAGAGGAAGTTTAGTGTAGAAAGTCGATGTACGAGGAATAATAGGAATTGAAGAGGTAGGTTGATTATGAATACAGTGGTCTTGAGTGCTGTTAAAAGTATGAGGGCGGTTATCACTTCCCGGTTGCCCACACCGTGGAAGGGTTCTTCTGGAGGTACCTGGAAAGGAAGTAGGATTAGAGTTGGTCATAGTGATCTGAGAGCGTGACCGCAGTGCCCAAGGGACAGCTGCTTGCGGTTGGTCACACACGACCTTTTTCTGGGTAATTTTCGTGTTAGCTCCGTACTTATTGAGACCTTACCACCGAAGACGGATATCCGTGGGATAAGGCGAGGTATGCATTTTTAGAGTCGACCTTTTCTAACTCCACCCCTCCTTGTGGGAAGGCAGCATCGCTGATATGCTGGTTGTCTGAAGGAAACACCTTACTGCTATCACACCTATGTACAGTCAGCAGTATGACTTCGCCTTCGAACCTTGGTTTTGTCGCTTTTAGTCTTACCGCTCTTCAACCGACCTGTCTGGCATGGTAGGACATTGAAGAACGGTTGTTCCAGCCAGTATAGCTCAGTTGCTTCATCACGATAGGCAAGCCCGACCACCACGTCAAGGTAGCAACAACGGTCGAGACTTTAAGGTCATGACACATACAGGAACGAACAATGCTAACGTAGACCATCTTATGGCAAAATCCAATAAAGGCTTGACAACTACATCTTTACAAAACTACACGTAGTCACAGAGCGGAAGTGGCTGCTAAATAGGGTATATATATATATATATATATATATATATATATATATATATATATATATATATATATATATATATATAACGTGACTACGTATTACCAAACCAAATTAGGCAGTTATATTAAGATTTAAGAAAAAGCTTTTCAAAATTTAGTAGTAGCTCATTACGAATTACTCTTTTGTATTATGTTATCCTTATACAGAAATCTATGTGCTATTAATCAAGCGTTTCGGCATTATCAGTTTATCTTCATATTTGCACCTCTCTACAGTATCAAGTCTCGTATTATCCTGTCGAAAAACAAGACAAATAACCGACTTTTAATCTCAAACATAAAAAGCCTTAACGTCACACTAATTGAAGAATGGGAACAATAGACTGATGAGTTATTTATGTGTTAATTGTAAACGTAAGAATATCATGTCATACAGTCCACTTGATGTTGACAGTACTTCTATTAGGCCAGTACTTATGAAGTTGAGAGAGCTGAGGGACTTTGTATTAACTTGAAAAAAAAGAATGTACCATTATCAGTAGTGAGTTAGAGTTTTGCAATGAAAATTGCAATATTATATGTAATATATATATCCTCTACCAAATAAAAATAATCCAATAACTACCTTTAAGAAGTATGGATCAGTATCCACAGTACTCAGGAATAACTGGGCTGATGGTTGATCATGGGAATTTAGAGAAACCATGAAGAAATCCAAAATACTCTACAAGTAATAAAAATGGAATACACCATAACACAGTATATAGACGAGAAAATGTAGTTCACTTATGCTGAAAAAACTTTTTGGAAAAACTGTCGGAAGAAAAAACAAAAATACAAGCTGTAAACAAACATCAAGAAGACATGGGGTAGTGATGAATGTTCACATTATGTAATTCCCGTAGACTCACCTTAGTAGAACGGTGGTCGCATATTACTAGCCTTCACATAAAATAGTGGGGGTATATGTTGACAGAATCCAATTTTAGAAAAGTATATTCCAGTCCATTATTTTTAATTCCAACATAAATAATATTACAAGTTATCTACAACTATTAAAGGTCGTTTTCATATACTATCTCAAAGTTAAATGAGAGGTGAAAAATTACAAACGAACCACGCTGTTGGAGGAAGTCCATTATGTACCAACTCAAGGTCTTAGTCAATATGTCATTGCTTGAAAGTCAGAAGGGCAATCGTACATACCCATATATACCCATGTTTATGTACATTATAATTCGGTTTGGTAACTAAACCTCCTTACTTATATAGTCTTCTTATTTGCATAGCAGGTTCGATTTGCCGCGAGAAGCGTATATCGTGACTAAATCGGACATCAGAATACAACACTAATAAGAATCCAAACAGATTAAATTGAATTTATGTTTTTGCTCGAACCAATATTCTGTAATCATTTTATTCTTATTCAAAAAAAATACAAGCGGCAATCTCAACAGCAGTAGATCGCCAATAAAGTAGTCTTTTTAACTTTGGTTGTTCAATAAATATTTGTCATGCATTATTCTGCCCAAATTATGCCGTAAAAGTTCTCTCACCTCATCTAATGCAATGTAATATCCCGAGGAATATGGTGAGACTAAACATTTAATAGCAAGTATTAATCATGAGAAAAATCCTTACATCATCAGATTGATCAAAAAATGCCAACTGACGTAGCCTAGTATTGTCTGGTGGCAGTTGAACACCCGGAAGTAGAGTAAGTTGAAAAGTAAGAACTCCATTAGAATCTAATCCTTTATTAACGAACGCTCCAGGATAAACACCCATATTTTGACCACTTTTTGACCAACTTGTAACACCTAAACTTAAATCAGGTTTGCCATCCATATTGACATCACCGACTGCTGGACCAATTAATGAACTGGTCAATAGACCAGATCTTGTTTGTGGAGTGGATGTTAAAGACCATCGCATAGTATTTTCTTTAACATTTGAAGGCTCCCATATTACATTAACAGGAAACCACTAAAATGTAAAAAAGAACAGGAAATGAATCGATTAACAAAGTGAAACTGAGGAATGTATGAGAACAAATATTAATGACTAGTAAGTTACTTTTACATACAAATAAGTATTTATTCTTATCATGTAAACTCCATCGATAAATAAAAACAATATAATTTGTTGATTTTCTAATGAACTCCTCCTGTAAAATAAGACACCAGGTAGGAGGAATTTGTGTCTATTGCGAGAGGTTACAAAGTATTTACATAACACATATCTGCATCGTCAAGTGTGTTCTGACATCTGAAATGTCTTCTCGCCTAGTCTCTAAGTGTTTTATCAATACTGTACTTTCAATATACCAAAACTTTTCACTCCGATTCGACAATTGTTGCAACTTCGAAGCCACGTTCCGCTACGCACTGCTTACAAACATCCTTGTGAGTAGAGTCCACTACACTCCTACTTATCATAAGAGAGAATAATACGGATATAATAAGCATTTCAACTGAAACACAATGATCTTAGTTTGTGAATCATTTTTCTCTTACTATTACTGATAATTTATAAAACTTCGTGACAATAAAATAACAAAATATAATGGTGATATTATGAAGAAATGAAAGAAAAAGCATATTATAATCAACAAATAAATAGACACAATCGTTTTTTTTTAAAAGAACAACTATGAGATTTTGTTTACTAAGAAAAATTAATCTCAATCTTATGAACAATACATTATAGGACTGCAGAAAAATGAATATTTTGATCTTTAAGACGTTGACCAAGCAGTTGCGATAGATCTTTAACCTTCATTCTGACTTCAATTGATAAAGATAAGGTATATCTTATTTTTGACTTCATATATAATACTTCAGTTAAACCCATTGTGTAATAATGGTATTCAAGAGCCAAATACCAATAGCGTATGAACCTATTTTCGGTCACCGGTTACTATGATACTGCATCTCCTAACGTTTCTCTACTGTCTTCTAGATTAGACCACTAAATCAAAGGCTCAGGGAGTGGGCACTAAGAAAACCACCTGCTTCAATTCAGGCACCCGGGCAGTATCCCAGCTCACATGCAAACTAAATGATGATTACAACTAGAAGACCCACTCACGCTTTAATTCTCATTCTCGAAAATCAAACTCAAAACTACTTATTATTACTCGTTTTATTTAACATTGCGTCACTTGTTTATTCCTCTATTTCCGTTTTGTATATTCTTTTATTCCTCAATTCACACAGCAGCTCACCTGTGGTGGAAATTCTGTCCAATCCAAAAGATCTAAAATCACTAATTGGTCGGAAACTGAGTGGTACCGCTGAATACGAAATCCGAACCAGCCTTTCTGAAACCACGTATACCATTCAAGCTGGTCTCCTTCAACGCTCGCACACTAATGCAGATCGGACAACAGACAGGGTTGGTTGTCTTTAGAACGTCTTAAAATCGATGTCTGTTGTCTATCCGAGACCCACATTCACGAGTCTAGCGAAGCACTACAAATTCATTCTCCGTCTGTAGCTTCGAAAAGCTTGTTTCGTGTGCGTTTATCTGAGAACTCTGTGGCATCTTTGCCTAGTTCTGCTGGCGTTGGTGTCGCACCAAGGGCTAGAGCTGAGGCAACACTGATCGATTGGATCCCCATTATTAGTCAGTTATGTGATGCTAAAGTTGAAAGAATCAAAATGCGAAGAAATTGGTGTGAGAAACGATGTCTTTTCGTCATCTCTGCCTATGCCCCGACAGATTGCAGCCCGGTTGCCATCAAGGATGAGTTTTACCATCAGCTAAATGTTCTACAGATCGTACGTCCGACAGATATTGTAGTGCTAGCCGGAGACTTGAATGCACAAGTCGGGCGTCTAGGCACAGAAAAAAGTCGTTTAGGTGGCCGATGATCTCAGGTCAGATAACGGAGACCGTCTACTGCAACTGTGCGCAGACCACAACCTGTTTCTGGCTAGCACTAACTACCTGCACAGTTATCGCCGATGTGTCATCTGGCATCCTGCCTCTTCGTTTCAAACCTGGACTCAGTTTGCCACATCGCGACCAGCTAACGCTAGCATAGTTGTGTACAAGAGTAGCGCTCCTTTTGGAGTACCTATCTGTACTCTGATCATGCCCTTGTTTGCGCCAACCTTATGTTTTCAGTGGCCAACGAATTCATCGTCCTTAATGGATTGATGTCAGTAAACTGATTGCAGCTTCTGTTGCAACTAAGTATCAAGCCGAGCTAGATTCTAGGCTAGTTACCATTTTAGCATCGGTTATTATGTTAAGGCCGTACAACTTATTCTGGCTTTCGGGCAGGCCAACCTACTCATTCTACTTGAGTCATATTTTGAACTTGTTAATTATTCGCTTATCAATCTTGACTGTTCTTTATATGATCGTATACATGTGTGCCCTTCTTATCTCATTCATCAGATGTCTGTAGCTTAATTTTGTGTGACTATAAATATTCATTAACGCTTGGTTGAATGGAATTGCCTTACCCGCCATCTCCACTGCGCATCATTTCGCTTCTTTCTATTCCATCCGCTTCTCCATGTTCCATTCGCTTCATATACAAAATATATACATTCAAAAGTCCATTCTCGTTATTTGACTTATTTAATTCCGTTATTGACTAACACGATTTAAGTCGGTGGTTATATACGAGGATAGGCGATATATAAATTTCAATAACAATCATTCATACGATCAAATTGGAGTCAGATACCGGGCCACTAAACCATCCCACCGAAAAGTATAGATGAGCATTGGTTGCAACTGCATCACGTTATCAAAATGGCGAGTAAGGCCGATTGCGGCTTCGCGAAACATCCCGCTTATAAGCACTGGGATTTTCAGGCTCCCTATAATTCATTGAAGCCCGTCGGTCTACTCCAGATAACCGCGAGTTTGACTATAAACGAAGACTGTTACGTAATGAAATTGGGCGTAAGGACCGAGAAGCCTGGTGGTCGGAGCGTGCCAATGGGTTGGAAGCAGAAGCTGCATCTGGTAACTACCGGAAGCTCTTTCAACTCATCCGAGTCACTGGCAGCAAGAAGTCCGGTGTGAGCAAAACAATCTGTGATGACGGAATGCCAATCATTAACATCCATCGACAGAGTTTTCCATGGGGCAGTTCAACTGGTCTGTTGCCCTGGCAATATCAATCAGACTGTCCGACCCTCCATGACCTATGACGACTGAACCATCGAACGAGGAGGATGTCCATAAGGAACTCCAACTCTTGAAGCGGTACAAATCACCAGACCCAAATGAATTACCTCCGGCCTTTTCTAAAGATGGTGGTGACTTTCTGACTAAGGAACTGATTGCCTTGTTTACAAAGGTCTGGTAGTTAGAGAATGTTCCAAAATCATGGAATGAGTCGATAGTTGTCCCTATCTTTAGAAAGGGTTCACGTCGTTCCTGTAACAACTATCGGGGGATAAATCTACTTCCGATTGCGTCCAAGCTATTGGCTTCCGTCATACTTCGTAGGTTGTTCAAAACCGGAGAAAGATTGACTCGCGAGAAGCAAGCTGGTTTTCGTTCTGGTCGAGGATGTATTGATCATATCTTCAACCTCCGCCTAATGTTAGAACACCGTCATACTTATAAAAGGTCAACAATCGTAGTGTTTCTAGGTATCATTACCAAGGTTTGATTTGATAATTTCGAAGAAATTGAGCATTGGGTTGATTGTTATAAATAAACAATATATTTGTAATATCCCAATGAGTAGAAAATTAGATTTTCTGACGTTTCATGACTTAGTGTAAGTTACTTCTTCAGAGAATAAATAATCAAATTAAAATTAATCCAAGTTTAAATAGTACAACGGAACAATGCAAGATGGTGGAGAATATTTGTAACTCAGGTGGATGATTTTAATGGAGTTTTGTTCTCTGAGCTGGATGGTTTGGTCGTGGAGCTTTCATCGTTCTTCTGAACGACATCATCAGCACAAACTTCAGATAGAAGTGAAGTGTTCGAATTTCTCCATATGCGTTTCACAGCTTGTTCTGTGCACCTCGATATTGATTGGTTCTTATTGACCTTAAATTTGTCATTGTTTACTTTTTTGTTTTGGTTTTGTCTCCTATTGGTTTGATTCTTGTTCCTATATTTGTGCATAAGTTTCCCGATTGGTTGATAAATCGGATCGATTTCAATATGTTTGTTTACGATAACGCAGTATCTAATATATATTGATTGTATATCGTTGAATCCTAGTTTATAACTCATACATAGCTTTAGAATTCATACTTTAAGCGATATGGGTCAACTGTCAAAAAAACGAGCACGGAAAAGCCCTAACTCTTCAGATAATAACAATTCTGTTATTACCTATTCCCCTTGCTCCGCTACTCCTTTTGTATCTGATAATGTTGGGACTGGTCTTACGCCACACGTGCTACTGGATGACTCTGTTTCTAATTTAGTAATGAGTTTCACCTCAAGATCAAAAAGGATCGATGATATGAAGAGTGAATTAAACACTCTCTTTAAGCAACTAAGCGACATGCGTTCTAAGGTTGAGTCACTTTCTAGCTCTTTATCAAAGCATGATGATCTGAAGCAAGAAATAAAGACACTATCACCCTTTAAACTGCTTTTGTCAAGAAACATCGTTCCTGCGGAACTTGATGACATTATAAAAGCAGAATCTGTTATCGATTTTATCGCTAGTGAAGTTACCAAGCGAATAGTCTCTCGTAATAACGTGATTGTCTATAATATACCTGACAAAGTCCCCATTAAAACTGTAAGGAATTCGATATTAAAAGCATCTAACCTTCAAGACAGTCCATGCCAATGCATCCGACTTACTAAGAAGCACCAGAAATACTCGTGTCCGTCTTGCTCAGGTTTGATTCTCATATATTAGCTGAACAGTTAAAAGAATCTGAGCGATGAATTTGAAAGCAGTGACCATAAGACAGTAGCATGAGCTCTCCCTATCTATCCCTCTTCTAACCGACCCATTCAAAAAACCTGTCAATATTAGA